TCTTTTTCTGTTCAATGACTTTGGGGATTGAAATCTCAGTGCCTTTAATTCTTTAGAATAATTTCAAGGCCTAATCTGGCTTGGAAAGTCCATACAGTTTAGGAGCAGAAATAATTGGTTTATGACAAACATGAAATTGACTCCCAGGCTCCAAATAGGGATCTTTCTAATTTTCCAATAATTAGAACCCTTGATAAATATCCAGTGATGATTTCGGGAGGTTACCATTTATCTGTTTCAATCATTATGTTTATCACATATGCAGCAAGAAGAATTTATTCTATTTCTCTTAGATATAGTTTTCATGCACAGAGACACACATGTGGGGTGGGGGAGACTCCATATTTTCTTTCTCTAACATTAATTTTCTTTTTCCAAATCATTTCTACGAAGCCAAGTTTTTCTTCCCCACAGAATGCTACACAGTTTGGTCTTTGTTTCATTGCAATTCTACTAAGAATAGGCTTTCTATGGTGATAAATGCTGCATTGATGCAAGTTGGTAGGGATTATCTAAAAAAAAGCTTAAGATCAATTGTGTTTCTAAATTCCTTCTGTTGGATTCAGAAGCAGCATATTCTTCCTGTCTATTTAGTGGAATTATTAATACTAACCAGACGTGATTCAAATTTGAAGGAGAGATAGCCAAGGAATTCCCAAGACTTGGAAATTAAAATTATTGTCCAGAAAGTAAAAACAACAACATACAGCTTCAAAGCTATTGCCAAGAACCCTGTATGTGTCTATCCATGTAATTATCAAACATTGAGGTCAGCTCTAAATTCAGCTGGCTACAATTCATTTAGTTTTTTAAAAAAATCCAAACAACTGATGTGATAAAAATAAAAATAAAATTTTACATCTACTTAAGGGCTTGAACATTTGGCTTGAAGCATCATTAGATACTAGATGTTCACAAACATACATCTTTTCTCCTTTCTTTTTTCCTGACAGATCTTCTTAACATGATGGAGAAAAATTATATGTATGTATGTATGTATGTATGTATGTATGTATGTATGTTTTTAATAAGAATCTACCAGACTGATAATATAATGATTATGGAGTTAGACTAGGACCTGCAAAGCCCACTGATCTTACTCAACCTTGGGAATTCAGTAAATAATTTAGGACCCATCACTTTCTCTTCAATCTACATCATGAAATTGGCAGAGTGATAACCTTGGAGAAAAGGTTTCTATGAACCACCCTAGAATAAATTTAAGAGCTGAAGACCAACACATTTCTAGATCAGTGGGTTTGAAAGAATTTTAATTTTAATAAGCAAAGTAAAATGTGGGAGACAACCAAACTGAGCCTGAGCGTGGGGTCAAATGCATCATTAGTCTGGCATCCCTGAAAGAGATAAAAGTCCAGTCCTTTAGATCCATTGACTCTGATCTGGCACCTATTTGCCCTGACCATTAGTAGATTAAATTCTTATGTGTAGGTTACACGGAATAAATCCACAGTGCTTTCTGAACTCTATAATTCCTGGTTTCTTGCATCTGATGAAAACTTATCTATGCTTACTTCCAATAGCTAATCTTGACTTTGATTTCAGGTCCTCCATCTTAAGTAGAAAGTGTCTCTTTAAATAAAAGTGTCATTGCAGCCTCTTTGCTAGAGAAAATTCATTCAGTAATGAAGTTGTCATCTTTTCAACAGCACTTGAACATTTATTTTAATTTACAAAAGCCTTTAAAAGAAATACATGATGTCTATTTTACTTTAATGAAACAGAATTTCCGCCCCCCATGCTTTGTGCAACCCCTGCTGTTGCTAATGTGCTTTTGCTTTATGTATCTGAATGATTGTTGTTTTGAACCATTTGCTTTAATTATTAGTACCACTGTTGTTTTACTTTACATGTTTGCAACAAGTAAACATTAAAAAACCCCAAACCAGCAATAGCAAGAAAACAGAAAACTGCCTGGTCACAGTTTAAAATTTATAGTTTTAGTAACTTAAACAAATACATACATAGATAGATGATAGATAGATAAGATAGACAGACAGACAGATAGATTTTATTTGCCCAATCTGGACTTGTTGGTTGGGTTTATTGTGGGAGAGTGAGTAAAATTTGGGAGTATAGAATCACAGCTCAGTCTAACAAAATTTTGTTCCATGCAGAAAGAGTCAGGAAGGGGATGGCATCTGTTCAAACTGCTATTTCCCCTAATGTCTAAAAGGTCTACACAGTTCATTTTTCTTCTGTTCTGCAAAGGTCACAATTTTTCCAACTGAAAATAAACTTTCATGTTTTGACTGTTCTGTGAGATCCTTCTCTGACCTCATTTGCCGGAAGCATTTCTAAATGTTCTTCTCCCTCTGGTTTGAATTCTCAGCTTCTAGAAGACTACAATTTTCTATGCCAAAAATTAGATTAATCTCTTCTGAAAAGGAGAGAATATGGTATGTTTGTGGAATGTACTATTATATATATATATACATACATATATAATACACAGATACTAAAAATGAAATCATGTCAGATGTCAATAATCTCAAATGCACTCAAGTTCATTATTAATAAGCTATAGCCCATACTGGACAATGGCACTGCATTTTCTCACACATTGAGTAGCAAATCCATAATAACATACAGTTCACTGCTCAACCTGAATTCTTACAAGCAACAGGAAACAACAGGTCAGTAACACCAACATGGCAGCCAGTTCCTGCAACAAACTAGCTATCTTCTTGCAACAAACTAGTTATCTACTCATATCTTTACTAAAGACCCATAAAACCTATACACCAGACAAGAAACACCTTCACAAGTTCTTTCTCCAATGTGATATATGTCATCATCTTCCAGTAATGATCCTCTAGATTCTACATGGAATAAACAGGAGAAACTTTGCATAAAATAATTAACAGACACAAGATTGACATCAGAACTCAAAAGAAGAATACCATAACATCAGAGCACAGGATTCAAAGTGACTTTAGCAAATTGGGACTTTAAGAATACCATCAAGTGAGAAACATCTAAATGTTTTGGGCTATCTCAGAAGGGCTTAACAAACACAATTGATTTTAATACATTGCAATTGCTAATCAGTTAAGTATTTGTAATCTGTCTCACATGTAACCTTCATCTGCATAAGTAAATTACCTTTCTTCCTCCCCTACCATTCATTTTCTTAAATCTTACTACTCTGTCAGTGGTGGGGTTCAATTTTTTTTTTTTTTACTACCAGTTCTGTGGGAATGGCTTGGTGGGTGTGGCAGGGGAAGGATACTGTAAAATCTGTCAGAGGTGGTATTTGCTGGTTCTCCAAACTACTCAAAATTTCCACTACTGGTTCTCCAGAACTGGTCAGAACCTGCTGAATATCACCTCTGCACTCTATGCATCCAATCAAGATGTGGCTTATGCTTTCTATGAAATGTTAGTAAGAAAAATAATTTATCAGGCTTTTGATTTATTTATTGCCATGATAGACTAACGCAACTTATTTCCTATATGGTCTGCTGCAAATGTCACACAGAACAGGATATGTGTTCTGGATATGAACTGGTCTTGCAATACACTTGTTAATTGTCAAACTCCACAAAATATTTTTTTCCTGACTTGTGCTAGGAATTCACCATCTAGCATTTTTTGTAAAAAAACAACAAAAAAAACAAAAACAGAATTTTCTGGATTTGCATGTTATAATTCTGCTGAACATTCCTTACAGCAGGTTTATGAGGTTACAAACAATCTGAGTATGTTAAAAAAAAAGTATTTAAGTGTTGCAAACTAGGGAACAAGTTTCAGGACCTCTTTCTGCCATGAAAACAAACCAAACCAAAAATCTACCTTACATTATTTAATGGCTCAGAATTGTGTAACAAACATCAAATCTATTAGCTGGAATTAGGTCGATTCAGTGCCCCATTGCTAGAAGTATTAATATTTACTGAGTTTTATTGTGCAAACTGAATATATTGCATTGTTGTATCCATCAGACTTCTTTCAGTAATTTATTTATTTGTTCAATTTTTATAACTGCCTGCCTCAATCAATGATTCTGAGACACTTTTCAATTCATTATGTATCTCCTACATCACCAGCCTGAATTGTTTGTATTACTTTTGGCTTGGAATTGTTATAGTAGACCCATTGCCCTTCATTCCCTTTAAATTAATTTTGTATCTGAACATACAAACACATTTAAAACTCAATAAATATATTTTAAACAATTCAATGTAGTTTTTGATACTTTTTGAGGTTGGTTGTTCAGATGCTTCATCACCCAACTAGGCAACGTAATCAGAGCAAAGTGAGGGTGGATTTGCTGTGTGCTTCATTCATATTGAAGCTGGTATTTTGGAACCAAATAATTTTTTTAAAAAAATTCTAGACCTAGAGTACATAAACCTGGTAAAATCTCTATAGAAATGTCTGCATTCCATTGCCAACACTCATTTCTGATTTGAAAATTTATCCATTTACTTGGCAAAACCTTAAAAGGAAAGGCAGGGTAGCCAAAGCTTTTTAGGAAACTAAACCAAGTAACTGGCAATGCTTTTTCAGGAGGCTGTTAAATTTTGTATAATGTTTATATCTCATGAAAGGAAAATGAGGTTGGTCCAAGCATCCAGGTATTATTTCAAAGGGAAAGAGAGAGAGAGAGAGAGAGACATCTACGTGCCATAAAAATGTCATTTCACACATGCTGCTGCAGTGTATTCATTAAAAGCATTACTTGGAGCATTTCCCATGCTATTCCATTCCTGGCTGGCATAATTTTACTCTGGTGGCATATCTGATTAAAAACAACCACAATAAACAAGAATACATGCAGATTACTCACTATAAACAATGATTTCCCTTTGTCTCTTTCTCTCTCTTTCTCTCTTCTCCCATCCCACTTTTCGGAAGACTAAGTGATAAATTACAATTGCTGGTGGCCTTAGCTCATTGAACCTTTCCAAGAAAATAGGAAACACACAACAGAGTGGCCAAAGACCAAATAGGCAAAATAAAAATGAACAATCACTTACTTTCTTCCATTGCTACAATGGTTATATTATGCCATGTGCTAGTTTCTCTGTCCAGCGGTGTGGCCAATGTTATCTTTCCATCTTGAGTATTAATGTTGAATTGTCTCTCAAGGTCAGTGTTCCGATCGATGGAAAACCTAGAGAACAAAGATCCTTATTAAATTATTCAACTTAAATACTTGTGCCTGATCTGAATAGCACAGCTTTCATAAGCTGACACATCTGTGTTTGGTTGAATAGCAGTTATGTAGCGTCCATGGATTCACGGAGCTCAATAATGATATAATTCATAAGGCCCAATAAATAAACAAATAAATAAATATAGACGGAGGATCAGGAAGCAGAATTATAATCCATGGAGTAATTAGCAATATGATCTCAGCGTGAAGGTTAGGAGCTGACACTAAGATCAGTCGGTAGCAGTCTTTTAAAAAACTACTGCGAATCAAGAGTTAATTAGATGATCCATCACTTTTATTGGACAATTCCTGTTGTATTTCATCACCACTGCTGATAATTCTGTCAATACATTAAGAGAGGAGGTTGTTTTGTACATGTCTGTGTGTTTTAAAGATGCAGCAAGCACTCTAACAAAAATGACTTTACAGTAATTAGATAAATATGTCATCGCTGTATGCTGTAAACCAATTCTCAAGACAATATCTGCTTTTTTAAAAAAACAACATCTTTTCACGGGTAAAATACTTTTAAAAACTGGAAAAAAAATTACCATTTTGTGAACTGATCTCATTGGTGTCTCACAAAACAACTTTGATCTGATAGCAGAGCAAACAAGAAGGTACAGGTGCATTATGCAGCCTAAATGCAGAAAGCCAATTTGACAAAGCAAAAAATTTCGATAGTAAATTGTTCAAACGGTGCATTGAATAAAATGGTGATTTAGAACTCCCTAAAAAATTTTCAAGAAAGCTTTTACGCCAGCCCATTTTCATGGAATTGTTTTATTAATGCATTACTTGTAAAAGAAACCAAACTGGGAAATTAAACCTTTAGATTTCTGACAGGCTATGCAGAGAGCAAAAGAGAAAGCAAGTAGGCAAAGGACTGAAGGGGAAAAAATGATATTAGTACCAGCAACCACAGCTTTTATGGTTCTACTAAATCCGAATGGAGAATTTAAATACAGAAGCATATTTGGTATCATTCTAAAATGTGACATCTCCAAACATCACACTAATCCATTTGCATCTATCTAATATTCTTCTGTACCATGCAGCTATTAATTAGAATTAGCTATCTCATACCACGGCTCAGGCTGTTGAATACTTGAGGAGTCTTTAAAATGTTTTTTCTCTCCAAATTTTGTTTTGACCTGATTTGGACCTGATTTGAAAAAAAATGCATTGTATTAAAACTTGGTTATATATCCAAATTATATATTTGTCATACATAACTTAAAGGAAAAAGAGGAAAAGGAATAGCAGTAATTGTAAATGTACCATGCCCCTATAACTAAATACCATGCAGGATAAAGCCCACATTTCATCCTATAACGTTGTAAAATTGGGGAATAAATATGGAGCTTCAAGGCCATAAGAACCTTCACAAATTATTATTATTATTATTATTATTATTATTATTATTATTATTATTATTATTATTATTATTATTTACAAATTAATAAGCATAAATTAATTCATTTAAATCAAGGGTCTTCAAACTTGGCAAGTTTAAGACTTGTGGACTTCAACTCCCAGAATTCCTGAGCTAACATGACTGGAGGAAGAATTCTGGGACTTGAAGTCCACAAGTTTTAAAGCTGTCAAGTTTGAGGACCCCTGATTTAAATGGCTTCACAGCATTTCAAGAGGAATAGTGTTTTAGTGCTTTTAAACCTTAGGTGATCTGACTAAAATGTAGTTTGAAAGGGTATTCATTTAAAAAAAAATGGAGACAGACATGAAAAGTTTTGCAACCATAACCTGCCTCTTCTAGTATAGAAATATTCCATTGCTGGAGGTTTTCAAAGAATAAGGACTCTTCACTTGGGCAGGGGGTTGGGCTAAAAGACTCCCAAGGTCCTTTCCATTCCTATGATTCTAAAGAAAACATATGGTCTGATATTTGGATTAAATTTGTGAATTGATGAGCCATCAGAAGCTCTTTTAAATTGCTGGGTGGACCCTTATGCAAAATACTTTGTGTCAACTGTAGCAACATTATGCCAGGCGAAAAGAAGAGGTAGACCTGAAAGAAGGAAGGTTCTGCCTTCCTTCTTGTGCAGATTGCTTACAAATAGCAGCAATCTGTACAGAGATCAAATGTTGGCATGAGTCTTAGGTAACTCAGCCAACAGGTTCCATAATAATTCAAGAGAGAGATAACCAGGGCATGAACCAACTGCTTAGCCATCTTGGTAGTGAGGAACTGATGGATCCTTTGAATATTCATGAAATGGAAATGAGCACTTTTCATTTTTTTTTTTTAAAATGGAATGTTTTAAAAGAAACCTGTAGCTAAAGCTTTGAACCAAAGGGAGAAAGAAAAGTGAAGGAACGGAGATGATATAACCAAGATTGGGCTACAATAATGTCTGTCTTCTGTTTGCTTTCATGTTCTATTTAAGACTCATCCAATCAGAGATTCTGCTTGGACATTGAATGTCAAATCATTCAGAGCAGTGACAAAAGAATAAATCCGAAAACCATCAATATGGATGCAATAATTGCACTTGAAAGATAAAATCAAAGAGGGTCCCAAACAGTGAACCTGAGGAATCCCCAGGGATAATGGAAAAGATCAAAAGATCAAACTATTTCATGAAATCAGAAATGCCCAATGCAATAACAAAGCACCCCCTATGTCTTATGATCCCTGAGCTATCTATATATAAGCAATTTGACATTGTCTGTAAGGAGGGATGGATGGATGAAATTTCCAAATATTCATGAAACTGTGGTTTGATTGTTAAGTATACCAGTTAAATTGCAAGCTTTCTGAAGACAAAACAAAGCAGGATTTCCTTCTGCTCACTGTTCAGTTCAACTTAAGCCCCATCAGATAGATTTTGGAATGATTAAAGAACACATATTTAGAAAGATCACTAAATCTTTCTAATGAGCACTAAATAGGCAACCCTTCCATTAAAATGATGAACTCCAATTTACATCTGGAGCAAAAAGTCATATTTTCAATCAATTTTATTTAGTAACATAATGAATTTTAAGTTATAATCCCCATAGCTCTTTAAACAGAAGCAAAACTGGAGATTTGTGAAATTTTGCACATTGATTTTCAACAAGCTCTTTGTGAGATCAAATTGTATTAAAAAGTATTTTTTTTTTCTAAAAAACAAAGCCAGTTTACAGGTTGGCAGGAAGAAAAAGCTTTCTTCCTTTGATTTCAGACCAATATATACTGTATATATCACATACGACGGTTTTGGTAATTATATGATAGTACCGTTCTTTTTAATGAGGGTATTGTCAAACATCTAAGCAACATATGAAGGAACATTTTTATCAAATGGAGGAAGGGCATGGAAAGAATAGCTTACTAATTAATAGCTTTTGAAATTGCTTCAGTGATGCCACAGTTTATTGAGTAGTGGTGGCTGGATGTGAAAACTGAGTTTGGAGGGAGTAGATGGCGAGCCACATTTCTTCAGTTGATGGTTCAGAAATATGGATTTGAATGTAACTCTACCTCCTTGCGGATATTCATTTCCACCAAAATGCTGTTTTGTATTGATGCAAATTAAAGCTTTACAACCAAATCTGAACCTTCCCAGCCTTTCAGCTTTTTCCTGCTGAGACGTGAATCACAATATTGATACTGTAAATCACTGTATCTCAGCATTGCCAACCAGAGAGGACATGCTACTAGGTGACTGAGATAAACAGCTATGGCTCGGGAAGGTACAAAATATTTTATCTGGAGTTTTAAAGCCTGCTGTGTATTAAGAAAATGATTTACTTTTGCTGAAGACAAAATACCCTTCTGGGCTCTATGTGTGGGAGCATATGCATGCACAAGTATTCTTTTCTTTAAAAAAGAAGAATGCAGAATGGAGAAAGACTAGATCCAAGAACCATTTGTCACCAAAATTTTTAAAAAAACAAGCACAAGTTTGGAACAGTGGTGGGATTCAAATTTTTTTTTTACTACTGGTTCTGTGGATGTGACTTGGTGGGTGTGGTGTGGTTTGGTGGGCGTGGTAGGGAAAGGATACTGCAAAATCCCATTCCTTCCCCACCCCACTAACCTGCTTTCCAGCTCCATTCTCCTGTGCAGGGCAACCAAAGAAGACCCAGCAGATCAGCTGGGACTCAATGGGAGGCAGAGAATAGATGGGGGGGGGGCAGTCAGAGGGAGTATTTGCCGGTTCTCCGAACTACTCCAAATTTCCACTACTGGTTCTCCATAACTGATCAGAACCTGCTGAATACCAACTCTGCTTTGGAAGTATGGAAAATATCCCTCTCTGAATTCCAGAAAGAAGTGTTGGAAGTATATTATTTTAAAAAACATGGAGAATATAATATTTCAAAAAATTAAACTAACTGACATGAACCTATGGCTTTAATGCGTGGATTAAGACTTGGTTCTTTTTCTTAGATGACACCCTTCTCCAATTGTTCACATATCACTATACTATGCAATTCATCACAGCTCCCCTCAGTTTCAAATTACATTTTAAAAGGACTACATATGTTTGAGATTATAATGATTTTAAATAAAACTATGCCAACATAACTATAACTAAGAACATTTTAGTAAGGTCCTTGGTGCTCTCTCAGCCTTCTTGATTTCTTGCAGAGGTTTCATTAACCAAACTAAGGTAACATGATCAGTGATAGTGTAGCTAGTGTAAGCCCAGAGAACATCAAGGACACCTCATTTCAACCCTCGGCTGAAAATATTTTCCTTTATTGGTACATTTCAGAATCGACAAGCGCCAGGGAAATCAGAAGATACAGCTAGTTCAAATGAGTATAAACTTTTATTGTAAACTTAAGCTCCCTACAAGAATCTGCATTGCTAAAGGTCAAGGGAAATTAGTGGTAGTTAAGAACAGAAAGGAATTTGAGATGAGCTGGACTTAGATCTCTTGTAGGGACTCATAACTGATGATACATTTGATCCCTCCCTTGGTCATCTCCTGCAACTACAAGTA